TTTTTTTTTTTTTCAGTATGGGCCTAGCCTAGGCCCACATTGGTCCTAATAAGGCTCCTCCCCTGAATGGAATGTGTCGGCTGTTTGTTTGGAGTGTTATCAAAGAGGAGGAGTTTGTGGGAGCAGTAATGGGAATCACTTCACTTGCAGATCATAAGGAGGTAACCATCAGTAGCTCAAAATATTGTTCCTTTTTATTTTCTATCTTTTAAATGCATTTTTTTTTTCAGTACTTAGGTTGTGTTTATAATTGAAGCTAGTTTATAGCTTATTCAAGTTAGCTTATTTCTTTTCTTTAAGTAAGTTTTGTTTGCTATGGCGAGGTTTTTTAAACATTTCGAAGTTATCTCATACATTTCTTTGGACAGTTTTTCAAATAAGTTCGTTAAAATTTTTATTTTAGCTAATTTATTTTTTTTATTTCAACTAGTTTATTTGCTAATTTTACCAAACATTTATATCATATAAGTTATTTCAGCTATAAGTTATAATCTATAACCTATAGGCTATAAACTATAAGCTAAAAAATTATTGATAAGCTATCAACTAGTTTTATCAAACATAGCTTTAATGGATAGCTTATATACATAGTAGTTTGTGTGAGTGTGGTAAATAATAAATTTTAATTATCTGTAAGAACAACTAATTTATAAACAATTTAAAAAACACCCAACTTTATAGCTTTTGTGATCCAAAAAGTTATATAAACCGCTACTTTCAAACAATTAAATTTAGAGGTCTTAGGTCAAACTTTAAGTCACTCTAATTTAACCATAAAATATAGGTTATGTTTCGTAGACACTATACGAAGGCTTAGAGCTTATTTGAAAAGCCTATAAGATGTTTGTATTTTAAGATTTTTTTTCCTGGAAGGACTTTTTTGAAAACTCAGCGTTTTGAAAAGAATTTCTCTCAACTTTATATTTTATTATATTTTTATCCATAAATGTTGACTTTGAGGTTTCGTGTTTGGTTTCGTGTTTTCTTGTCCTGATAAATACTTGCTTTTATGTTGCTTCGTTCTTAAAGGAAGGTTCTTTTTTGTCTCCTTTTGTCTTTCAGGTAACAAGAACACAGTCAAAGTGGCTCTACTCACAGGTGGCATAGGTGGTGTAGTTGGCCTCTCAATCACTCTCCTCATCTCCTTCATTTTGTTCACCAAGGGATATAGACTTACATCAAAATGGCCTTTACTTGGCAAGATAAACAAACAAAAAGACATTGAAGTTTTCCTCAAAGACCACATGAATTTCGCCCACAAACAATACCGATACTCGGATCTCAAGAGAATCACAAAGTTGTTCAAAGAAAAGCTCGACGAAGGAGGCTACGACAGTGTGTACAAAGGCGAACTACCCTACGAACATCTAGTCGCCGTGAAGATGCTCATAAACGAGTCCAAAGACAACAACAATGGGAGCGAGTTCATAAACGAGGTCGCGAGCATTAGACGAACCTCCCACGTCAATATAGTAACCCTATTAGGCTTTTGCGTCGAGGACTCCAAATGGACCCTCGTCTATGAGTTCATGCCAAACAGCTCTCTCGACAAGTACATCAACAATACTCTTGAATATCAGTTCTTGGGATGGGAAAAATTGTCCGAGATCGCACTTGGCGTCGCTCGGGGACTCGAGTACCTACACCAAGGTTGCAACACGCGGATCGTGCACTTGGACATGATGCCCCACAATATCCTTCTCGACAGAGAGTTCAACCCGAAAATCTTAGATTTTGGGCTAGCGAAACTATGTCCTAACCGGTCGAGCATAGTGTCTATGCGTAGTGCAAGAGGGACGATGGGGTACATTGCACCAGAAGTCTTTTGTAGGAATTTCGGCGAGGTATAAATTTGATGTTTATAGCTACTGGATGATGGTTTTGGAGATGGTCGGTGGAAAAGAGAATATCAAGAGGGTTGATGTTGACAATTCAAGTGATGTGTATTTTCCAAACTATTTGTACAAGCAACTGCAGATGGAAGTTGGAAGTGGGGTGAGGCTCGATAGGGTTGTGGATGGAGACGAGAGTCGGTTAACAAGGAGAAAGTTGATAATCGTGGGGATGTGGTGCATACAGATCGACCCAAAGGATAGGCCGACGATGAGCAAGGTGATTGAGATGTTGGAAGAAAAATTAATATCGTTGAGTGTACCACCAAAACCGTACTTATCTTCGCCACTGAGATCAGGTCCTTGTTCGTCGACCTCTTTGCAGCAAAGATCAACTCCGAGTTTATCATCCTCTCGTTCTTTGTACTATATCATGCTCCATCTAGTGATGTTCTTCTTTGAGTACTTTGAGGAAGAAAAACAAGTTTTCTACAATAGGAATCTTCGTAATACATAAGATTATGAATATTTTCACACATTCATGAGGGTGATGGTATCACGATACAAGGATTATGTTATAATTGATGAGTAGCAGTTCTTGGTTTCGATAAAGAACTGCCTCAAGAAAGCCTGCAGACAAAGGCCCTGCATTTTGGGTAAATATCATGCGAGAAGCACAAAGAACTTTATGAGAATTTTGTGACTGAAGCCTATTCGGAGCAATTGAAATGTAATCGTGTAACGTGTAAATGCATATTTTGTCGCCATAGTGTGATTATTTGGTGGCAAAGAGTGATCACAAAGTGCATGTTTGTGTTTTTCATTGCACCATGTAGAGATCTTTGTCTCGTTTGAATGGACACAAGAGAATGCAGTGGATCATGAAAACGAATCTTTCTAATCGAGCTTAATCTTTACATTCAACATTGCTTTTAGGGACAGACTGAGGAATTTCTCCCGAAGAGAAGGGATTTTGATCAAAACATTTCACATCAAGTACTTGGGGTCAAGTGCAAAACGAACACTAAAATCCACAACATTAGCACATGTTGCTGCTGCATTAACATGATTTCTATAAAATTCCATGTAATAATGAGATTTTTCAATCTTGGAGTTGTATCTAATGTTTCGATTGGCAGCTCGGAATGTAATTGTAACTCTTCAGAGTTTTTTTCACCCAAAATGTCTCATCATTCAACCCCCAAATTGAGTGCCCTTCATAATTTTTACGACAATGATAACTTCTCAAGCTCTGCATTCAAATACAAAAACAAATAACTTTCACAAAAGGTCTTTCCTTAAAGAAACATAGCAACTAAATGAATAACAATATGGTTTACTAAGCCTAAAAAACATCCTGAGAATATATTTCAGAGAAGCAAGAAAATACAGATATATTGTGAAGAAAAACAGATCATACATTGTGTACCTTGAGAGGGAGCATCCTGTGTTTTCTTATTGCTGAAGAAAACAAAGTTAATGTCAACTTTACCACAAGAATTAACTGCATAACAATTAAAACCATTCAAAATTACAAATTATTTACCCTTCTTTGTTCGGTGGCTCATCTTGCGGTTTCATTACTGGGAAGAGCAATACTTCCTGGAAAAAACAAGTATATGTTGGAGAGAATTCAATATTGATAAGAATATTAATTAGAAATAATATATGAAGGGACAAGTTAAGTTAACTTTTATGTTCTGTGAATCAGTCAACAGCATTGCAAATCGGTCAATACCCAATCCCCAACCACCAGTTGGAGGTAAACCATATTCAAGAGCAGTACAGAATGTTTCATCTAAGGCCATAGCTTCATCATCACCGATTGCCGGTCCAAGTTACTGTAACCAGCAACAAAAGATCATTAGCAAGTTACTTGAGTACTTAAAAAAAAAAAGTGAGTACTATGCATGCAAATAATCACAAGGGGCTAACAAAAAAGAGCTAAGATTAGTTTAATTACAAATAAGGTTTAGTCTAATTACAACCAGCAACTTCGTTATTTTGTTTCAATCCTATGGATAATTAGAGAAAACAAATCTCAGGGGAAACACCAATGGGGCATTGATCATTTTGAAAAATAAATAAATAAATAAATAAAACCTCAAGAGTAGTTTATGCAATCATCCCTGAATATGATTGTAGCTAATCTAGGGCGTAAGTCTGTCATGGTGTTGCTCGAGCTCGCGGAGCTCGGCAGTGGGTCTTTTGACTCGTAGGCAATATAGGGCGCAAGCCTATCGTGGCATTGCCCAAGCTCGCGGAGCTTCACAAAGGATTTTCCAACTCGTACACACTCTTAGGCACAAGCTTGTCGTGGCATTTCTCGAGTTCACGAAGCTCGACAATGGGTATTTAGACTCGTAGCCAATATAGGATGCAAGCCTATCATGGCATTTCCCGAGCTCGTGGAGCTCGGCAGCGGATCTTCGAACACATAGACAATATAGGATGCAAGCCTATCGTGGAGTTGCCCGAGTTCGCGGAGCTCAGAACCAGGTCTTCGGACTCATAGCCAATCTAGGGCGCAAGCCTTTCGTGGCTTTTCCCGAGCTCACATAGTTTAACAATGGGCCTTTTAACTCGTAGCAAACATAGTCCTTATCTTGAATATGCATCAAGATTTCTTTCTTTGTAGCGCGCATGAGTATACCTCTCGAACCTCAGGAGATTGGATCGGTCCTTCAATGAGCTGGTGGTGACACACAACCTATCCCACACCGTTTTCCACTTTCCACCATTATTCTCACTTGGATACCTTTTTCTTTTTCTGTCAGAGGTTTCTCGCTCATATTCCCCCTCCGCTCTAGACGTCTCCTTTCTGTTGATGTATTTTTCAGCCCTATTGAAGAGTCCAGTCGGGGATAGCGGTGGTTGTTTTGCAAAGGAAAAAAGCAAACTTTGAAGACTTTCGAACCCCAGCTTCCAAGGCCACAGACAAGTCCAAATCCTCAATCTCTAGCGCCTCTCCATAGAAATGTTGGATAAATTCCTTTAGCATCTTATTTGATCTCTGATGGATGACCATAAGGTGGGCTGGCGCTTTCTTCTACCATTTTCCACTAACAAAGTGGTTGAAGAGTTCTTGTGCCAACTGTTTGAAAGAATAGATAGAGGTTGCTGGCAGCAAAGAGAACAGAACCTTGGCACTCTTTCTTAGTGTGGCCGAGAACGCTCGACATTTTATGGCGTCAGTCTCCTCATGAATCATCATGAGGCTCACAAATTATCAAGATGGTTGCAGTGGTCCGAGGTTCCATCGTAATTCTCCATATGAGGCATCTTGAAGTTAGAGGGCATTTCCTGTTTCATGATGCTATCAATAAAATGGGACTCAGTGGGCGAGAAAATATAAGACGTCGACTTTCTGACTTCTTTCCACACCACGCTGAGCCTTTCATTCATTTCCTCAAGCTTTTGCTTAAGGTTTCCATCCTCAGGTGTGAAATTCGCACTCCCGAGGTCTCTTTTGGATCTGACCTCCACTTCATCGTTGAAGGCCTTGGAATCTTCGCCATGACTGGCATCTCTATCCTTTTGAACTAAGGATGCTTCTCTTTCTAGCACACCCTTCATCAAAGTCTTCAGTGCAAGGAGTTCTTTTTCGACCCTCTACATTCGTTGGGCCTCCGTCTCCGAGGTCCCAGGACCTTGAGAACCTTGGCCTTGGCTAGGGTTAGCCTGAGAGTTCGCTTAGTTTCTTTGTGGTTGATCATGTCGAAATGCCTCGCATCCTTCGACTGCTTTCCGCTCTCCTCAGTGTCGCCATGAGTCCTCTTACTAAGTCGTCATCCCCACAGACGACAGCAGTTGATGATACAAGAATTACCTGACGTTAGTTCGAGGACACGTGGCGGCAATGTGTGCTCCGACATCCTGCTTAGTGCCTCTCCTTTGCTCTGACACCTGCAAAACAGAACCCCAGGGTTGTCCCCAGGGGTAGATCTTTCGATACCTAAGTTACAATCGGTTTTTGGTTTAGGGTTGTGGCTGTAGAGTGAGTAGAAGAGAGTGTGTGTCCTTTTCTTGATCTAGGTCATCCTTTTATAGTGGTCAGATGACCTAGGTTTTCCTTATGCTGAAAGATGACTTCCTAGCCCACTAGCTTGGTGGACTATGGTCCACCAATTGGGACCACCTTTAGACATTGGGCCTAAAGTAAGGTTCCTCGGGACCTTGGGCCTAAATTGAGGTTGGCCTTATCCTTGACCTAGGACACAAACGGTCCTCAGAACACGCGTGCCTTTATTTTCTCGAGCCACGTGTCACCTAATAAATGCATATTTTTTTCCCTTATCAATAGTGATTCTTATATACTTTAATAATTTATATGTATTGTAATACCCCGTTTGAATATGAGATAATAGGATTTATTATTTATTATTTTTATTGTTGTTGTTATTATTATTATTATTATTATTATTATTATTATTATTATTTGCTAAATGTCTACTTGTCTAATTGCCTAAGTATTATATTTAATTATAATGTGTAAATAATTATCCGAGTTGTATTTATTTAATTGTGCGATTATATCGAGCCCGAGAGCCGAATTATTTTGGCGAAACCCTCGTGCAAACCGGGCCATCGGATTTATTTGCTGAGTTGTCAGATTTTATTTAGTTTCCGAGTCATTGAATTATTGGGCTATTTTATTTGATTGAGTCGAGCCTTGTTTTAATTAAACCCGCACCCTTTTG